CACCTATACTACTATACGGCTCGGAAAATATGGGGACATAAATATTCTGATGTAATCGAGAGGGTCCATACTATGTATTTCAAACGATTTCTGAAAATTGGAAAATGTGCTTCAAACAAAGCCACACTTGGGGAGCTTGGACGTCACCCCATCTACGATTAACACAGATTCGAGTAATCAAGTTTTGGTTCAGATACTCAGTATGAATGAACAACATTATCCACTGCAGTGCTACAGAATGCTAAAAACATTTGATGATATGGGCAGAACAAACTGGGCATCCAATGTTAGAAACTTATTATTCAGAAACCGGTTTTCTCATGTCTGGTTAAACCAGGGCGTTGCTAACGCTCAGCTATTCATGTATACTTTCAAACAACGATTGAAGGATATAAGCCTACCAAACTTGGCACAACGAAATCAACAGCTCCACTTTTTCAGTCATTATTCACAGTTTAAACATGAACTTTGCCTGGAGTCCTACATAACAGAACTAAAATATAAACATCTGATCCGTGCACTTATCAAGTTTCGTATTTCGAAAAACAACTTTAAAGTGAACATGTACAGACTTAATGAGGATGCCCCACGTACGAACTACTTGTGTTCATTCTGTGATGCCGCGGAAACAGAAACTGAGAATCACGTATTCTTCCGATGTGTCAAATATCAGCGGTAGAGAGACAGTTACTTCTAACAATTACAAAATGTCTACAAAGGCCCACTCACTCTGCAGTCAATTTTGCAATCCAAAAACCCCCAAGTTATATACTGTAGAGCACTATTTTTACATTATGCTTTTAAAGTAAGATCCCAATACTAATTATGACCAATTATCAGGAAACTGCCAAAGTTTGTGACTGTATTATAGGCCATGAGGCCCATATTACGAATAAACTTCTGTCTGTCTGTCACAATCAGCTTATGTAGGAGTGTGACGATGTCACGTGTTTTTTCTGTTGGCAACAATGAATGCAAATAATTTGGCACACAATAACTGAATGTTGCTTAAAAAAAATTGTATTCATACGCAAGTAAAAGAATGTCCAAAACGATAGATAAATCCAGAATGGCATTACATGATAAATAGTTTATTACCCACTTAGCCTAGGTTTTCGAAACGTACAAGTTATGGGTAATAAGCATGCCAGTGTCGCATGGTTTTTGCGAAATGGAAACACACTCGGCAAACAAACTGTAGATTATTTCGTAAACCAAACACAGAACACTCCCTTCTACTGTAGGGTAGGTAAGCGGCGACCGTTCATAATTTATGTCTGTGGGGTGGGGTGTTTGATGATTTTTATGGAGAAGCCTGTACAATTTGAATTCCCCCTCCCCTAATATTTTATGTACAAAATTGCTGACCCCTCTAGTGCATGTGTACAAAATGGGTGGAACCAGCCCCCACCCCACCCTCAGGACAAAATTGGCGACCCCCCTTAAAATCATATCTCTCACACACACACACAGTCATAAATTATGAACGGTCCCAAACAACAAATCTGGTTTAGGTATTTACATTAGATTTGGAAGCTGACTTCCGAACCTTCTGCCGAGATTGCCTGGCTTCCAGACACGCTTGTTTTTCTCTTTCTAGTTTCTCTTTCTCATTTCTCTTTTCTACCTTCATCTTAATGATCTCATCGCTCGTGAGTATGCGGTGGGAAGTCAGCTTCCGTGGATTTGATTTCGAACTTTGTTTTATTACAGGAGCTGGAAGGGAAAACTTGGACTTGATAGCGTCCATTGCAGCAGCCTCGGAGACTGTAGCCATTTCAACAACTAAGTTGCCGGATTCATCTAAAAACAGAGAGTGTCACTTGTCAAAACAGACAAGATGAAGTCAGTGTCAGACAGGAGAGATGCGCCCTCTGGTAACACTGCTTCAGTTGTAGATGGAACCACTGATGTCCCAGCTATTGGCGTAGCAGACACTCCGGCATCAGGTGTCACAGTATCAGAAGTCACCGGATTGTCAGCTTCACCAACAACAGGAACATCAGCAACTCCCCCTTCTCCAGATGAATCCAAGCTGACATCAAATGGTTTGCTAGGGGCAAAAGCCTTATCTGGAATTGAATTCCTGTTTACAGGGAATATCCCACATTTACGGAATCCACTGCAAACATTTCAGGCCGTGAAAGCCACAGTGTACGCTTGTTTGAACAAACGGGGCCATTCCCATTTGGTCACCAGGTTATTTGGACTTTGCACCATGAATTCACTGCATACCCTGTTCCACTCCCTACTTAGTGGGCCAAATACTGATTTGTCCAGAGGACAAAGCCACTGTGTTGTGTGGGGAGGAAAAGCTAGGATGGTTACATCATTTGCCTTTGCCTTCTCCAGAAGCCCAAGTGTTTACGCCTGCGAACTGTGGCTGTCCAGCACGATAAGTTGAGGACTCTCAGGTCCACAGTGTTTCAGGAAGTGGGCCTCAAACCATCCTTCACCCAGAGTGTCCTCCATCCATGCACGACTCTGGTATGTGTAGGCCGTGCCAGGCACTCCAGCCGGAGTATTGTATGCCTGAAGGCATTTTGGGGTCTTCCCCTTGACTATCGCCATAGGGGGAATGTTGCCACCTGCAGCATTTATGCACGCCAAAACTGTTACATTATCACGTGTGTTCCCCACACGCCCGGGAACGTTCTTAACCCCGACCTCAGCCATAACTTTGGTTGGTTTGTGTGTAAGCGGAACACTTTTTTCGTCGATGTTCCAAATTACTTGTGGTTTATCGTGTAACCCTAGACTGTAGACAAGTTTTTCAAGTTCATCAAAATAGTTTTTGGTAACTGATGGACTGAGCATTCTTGCTCTGACTGTGGTGAGAGGTACGGGCGATCTTAAATGTATGTCGGGGTGGCGCTTCAAGAATCCAGCGATCCACCCTTTACCAGGCACGCCATTCTTGAAGGGGGTCTTCAGATTAAGTGTCCCACATATGCGTGCAACCTTGAGGATAAGCTGGCGACGGGTTATGCCGAACCCTGTCAGCGCTGCAGCCTTTATTTTGTCAGCTATCTCTTCTTCAACTGCCGCTGTCAGCACTGATGGTCGGCCAAGACTCCCTCCCTCGGATATTACCCGGACATGATCGCTAATGGTCATGACGGGTACATTAAAACGTTTAGACGCAGTTCTGAAAGACAGACCCTGCCCCGTAACCGCGGCAACTGCACTCCCAAGGGTCTGCTTTGTGTATTGGCGTCTTCTGCCCATCTAAAAATTAAACACAGACTGAATTTATCTACTTTAATACTGCCCAATTTGACACAATACAGAACGAACAAGTTCGAGAATTGTATCATGTTGAAATCCATTTTGGTCACAATCGTGAAGCACGCGTCTTGCTAGAAATGTTGCAGACATGGGGTCTCTTAGTGTCGGTTGATATGACATTACGCGACAAACAACTTCTGCCACTGCAAATCTACATCTAGAATGGTCTAAAGATTTCCTTAGCAAGTCAAGTATTACTTCAGCTTCGTATTCAACAAACACGTCATCCAGGATTAAGGTGTTTAAAGCTGTACGGGCGACTGCAATCACTAGTTCATGTCCGCTTCCACATAATTTGCGGCGCTGAATGGATTTTGAAAGCGCCATTTTCTGTAAAGTTGACAGTATTGTTATTGATAATTTGTTTTAATTGATTAATTATTATTAAAATATTGTGACTTATACGTTTTACTAGACAAAATTGTATTAGCTTCCATGGAAATAATATAGTTGTGCCTAACTGACAAATTGTTGTACTGTGTTGCTGATAACTTTTGAATATTTACAGGTTATTTGGGCTTAATACATTGTACCCATGTGGGGAATCGAACCCGGGTGTTGTGCGTGCCGAGCGAACGTTTTAACTATTAGTCTGCCCCACCGTCCCCGTAAAGGATTCATGAACGGTAAAAAAAAACACCTAACGGTAGCACGGGCTAATATCAACAATAAATACTTTTCTGACAATTTGACTACTTCAAAATTGACTTCAACAATGGCCATATACACTATTTTTCTATTATATGTCTATATGTAATATTCAATTGTTTATCAGTATCTATGCAAATGTTTCATATGAGTAAATATGACATGGAAAAAATAAAATGACACTGTACGAAATAAGGAGCATAGCAAAAATATATAATAATTTGGGCATCAAATATCGTACGCCTCATATTTTGTTAATTTTGAAAGTAACCTGTATGAAACCGGTCACTGTGTTTAAAGATTACATTTTTGGTCAGCTCAAATACATTATTTCGGGTTTCCGTACCATGAGTGATGTTCAAATTTCCCGCTTTTAGGTGTAGCGCCTAGAGAGTTTCTGATAGTGACCTCGACGTCGTCCCGGCAAGAAGTGGAGAGAGTCGCTATTGCGCAAGTGCACAACGCGATAACCAATCGTATCTCGAAAGAGAAAGTGCATGACAAATACACACGATAGCTAAAAATAGAGTTGGGAATTACCGCATTTCAAGCGACAATGGTAAGGTGATGCCACACACAAACATAATAAGCTATTGCGCACAAATCAAAGTGTACGGAACTTACAAGCCTGTATGGTATTCGGAGTACTGACTCTATAGTACATTTTAGACGAATGTATGCAGTTTTCACAACGTCTCGCTCAAATAAAATCGGCACAGCGACAACTGGCAGCCTGGGGAGTAACTTTCATTCATATCACCTGAAGATATATAGTCCTCATCTGATAATGATGAGTTTAAACATGTATCTTTAATTGTATCTGAAAATAATGAAAGACACATCAAATTTCTAAAAATGCTACTCAAAGAAATTTTTTCATCGTTAAAATTTAAGGGGTATACGGGCGGAGTTCACAAATGATCGAAAATTGGACAAACATTTATTCTAGGGCAGTAAAAGCACATGCATATTCATAAAACCGCAACAACCGGACACGGGCACATTTTCAATAACATCCTCTACATCATATCTATACATGCACGACAGTAAGGTTTCATACATACGTAAAGAACGGAGGGAATTTATACTGCCACGGATAGTCAAACACTGCCATTTCCCTGTTTGTCCCTTCTAACATAATCAATTCCTTTTGATAGATTAACTGAGTGAAAAGAGACAGTTATCTGTAACAAATTTTTAATACACAAAATTTGACCTTGGTATTATATTAAATTATATTTCAGCTTGTAGGGACGGTTTTGGGATCTTCAAATACGTTATGGGAGACATTGGCTCAAACTTCCGGTTCCGGTAGAAAAATATGTTTGTGTTCTGACATTATCGTCGACTTCATAACGCCATATATTCGTGTTTATGAAGAAGGTAGACTATTTTTTCTGGAGTATGAAACTCGTCGAAATGTGATTTTGGAATTTTTGCATGGTATCCAAACATTATTGTCTGTTCACTTGAAATACGTGTAATATTTTCTATGATATTGATCAATTGCTGACACTGTCAGTGGCAGTACAAAGCTGTGTAATCGAATTTGTCATGTTGTTTTAAACGGTTTCTAGCCGACATGAATATTAACAACGCTGCATGTCAATACTCCACTGGGAAAAGGACTGAGCACATTTAAATATATGTATATTTTAATTACTTTTTTAATACTTTGGAAAAGCTCTGAAATTTATCTATTTAGCTTGTACATGTTGTAAATGTGAGAAAGATGTAAAAACCTGTTGTAGATATAACACTAGTGAAAATTTTATGAGCGGCACTTAGACCCGCTGTTTACTGTTACCAATAAGGTGGCCACTCATTCATCCTAACATGTCTTTTTATGTCGCTGTAGTGGTCAAAGGATCGGCAGACGTGGATTTTACTGTCATGTCCAGAGGATTTCATATAATAGCGAAAAAAAACTTTCACTGACATACGGCAAATGTCCCTGAAACAGAGAGTGTCAAGTACAAATGGCTCCTTAAAAGCTTGGATATCAATACTTAGGTAGCAATATGTGCATACCCCAATCTAGAGCTACATGTAGTTATTTTACATTTCAATCTAGCCAGAAGGGTTGAAGGAACAAACAAAATTGCCGCAAATATCAATTGTCATTGATACATAAGCCACTTTCTGGGACAGAAAAAGTTATAATACTTGTAGAAAGTATTTAAACTGCAAAGTGAAAGTGCTAACATACGATGCTGTGTAATCAGCTTTCAGAACAAACACATTTCAATTTCTGCCTAAAACAGCAGATGCACTGGGAGCTGGCACTGTAGTTGAAATTTCACAACTAGTCAAATACCAGGAACCCTGTGGCATATTTTTTTCTTTTGGTGGATGACTTTTCATTGTGTGTTTATGCCATTTCCCTTTTAAATATTGGGTTATGGTCAAATCAAACACTGGTGACATGTCTGATACGGTGTCAAAGAGAGGATTACAATACAACTCTGCATGACTAATAAAATCCACTAAAAAGGATACAAGTAAAGTCTGTTTCTACTTTAGATAAAAAAGTATGCTTGGGTTTTATATATACATTGAACAGACAAAATCCTCAAGGGCAAAATTCTATGGGAAAAAATCACCAAAGACAAATTCCTCACCCATATTCTTCTTTAATGTTAGTGAGTTGTTTTGAATTGTAAGACAAAATGAACCTGATGTTGTTTTGGAGACTTTGTTGTTTTAAATAACCTATAGGGTTTGCTCACAATTATCTTCACTTTCTGAAAAATACAACCTTTGTATTCCCAATATGTGATGAATGTCTATAACATTTCTGTGTAATGTGGTTCAAGAACCAACAATGTGTGTGTGTGTGTGTGTGAGACTTTGAACAATACCTTTCTGATATGAAACTCTGAAGTATCGTCCACCACACAGTGTGGAGACAAGTGCTGTAACTACAATTTATGGAGATGTATTAGGTCAGCTGCCAAGAAAGAGGACAAAACATTCTTCTGAACAAATACAAGAACGTTTGCAGAGACACTGCTCTAGTGTTGCAAATTGGGAAAAGTCCAGACTTTCTGGAAGTTGCATTAGTTGATATTAATTTTCTAAACTGGCGTTCACTTGAATATCTTAGCTGCATTGGATTGCATATGCAATATGAATATGTGTTGCAATGCAATGCCTATGATAGTGATATGTACATTTTGTTTGTAATAACATATCATATATTTTCAGCATGATTACTTTGTCTAAAAAACTGAAGCAGCAGAGTCAGGCTAAGAAAGATGCAGCTGAAGCCGAGGTCCCTAGGAGGGTCTCTGTCCGAGACAAACTACTAGTCAAAGGTGAGAATACCCTTATCATGTTTTCACATACTGTAATTGTAGTTATTTTCGCATGGGATTAATTTTCGTGCTTTTAGCGCAAAAAGATTGTGCGCGAATAATCATACCAAGCGAAATATTCATGGTGAAGTCATGACAAATACTCAACTAGGAACAACATGTAATTTGTCTTTCAGTGACATTTAGAAGTTGTACATTGATGTCCAAGATATTTTTATGGATTCAGGGACCTGGAATGGTCTCGAAACGTCGTGAGAGAAATTGAAAAGAAGTTTAATCCATAAAAATATCTTGGACAACATGTAATTTGTTTATTCTCTAAGATAACAACATCAAAGCAATTATTCCCGGTCCATGTTTACAAATTACGTGATCAAACAATGTCAAGAACTCCAGATGTTCGCCTATCGGTAATTCCTCAACACAATGTACTTACTTCACAGCAATCACTGACATATTGTGTCTACTCATGTCTCGATGAAGTGTAGTTGACAGTAAATGGATATACATATTTTGTTTCGCCAAAAGTCATAATTAGTGTAGCTGGATGATCACATGTCAACAAACTGCTTTCGCAGTGGAAATAGCGAGATCGCGCGAAACCTCATCAGTGACAGGTTAAATTGTTGCATGCATAAAAACTATCCGGCAATACACCAAAAAGCTATCGCATAACCTTAGTTATGATTATAAATATTTTACCTTTATAGAGCACAACCTGCAATGAAAATGACACAAAACTAGAATATATTTCTCTTTATAAAACAACAGTTTGAGATACTATTTTTTTAAGATCACTGCATCAGAATTCATCTCGGAATATTATCGGCTACGTTTTAACTAAAACACCGGTAGGGGAACGTGTGCACTGCACAGCTGATTGCTATTTCCGGCGTTGTACATGGTAATCTTAATCCCTGCATATAAGACAATGCCTAGCAAAAACAAACTAGAACTGAATAGGTAAATAATCTTTTCTAGCGATGTTTAATTGCAAATGTGACGTCTTTGGTCTTCTCTTGTATGTTCGTTCACACGAAGCGATACGACGTCAGTCACAAACCACAATGCTGACACAAGTACAATCCCACCTCTCTCTGATTGTTGTAGTAAACAAGATTCAATTATGGCGGCTAGCTTTGATCATTGCATGACTATCGGTTGTGAAAACGTTGTGATGGATACCATCACTCAGGTGCTTGAAATGTGTGAAAAAAAAAATGTGCTAACTGGCCTTTTGTGAACTTTCCGCGAAAATTGCACCCCGTGAAAGTATATACGATTACAGTATTATGCCATTTAAGGCTTGATCAATTCATCAAAACACCAAGGAAAGTAAAGAATGTGGACAGTCGAATCCGTTATCAACGTGCTGGAATCATAAGCTGATCAGTGAAGACAAGAAAATATGGTAATTGAAAGAACTGTTGGGAAAGTACCATTCATTTTAGAAATGTTTATTCTTGTTAACATGAGGATAATTATTGGCAGTGTTGGCAGGTTTGGAAAGTAACTTTAAAAGTTTCTAGCTCTAAGAAGTGACATGTTCCATCTTCCAGCCCTAGCCAACATTCTTTCCCTGTTATTGGCAGGATTCGGTATTATGGCCCGTCACCATCATGATGGGATGGGATGGCCTCTGTGTATTATCTAGGATGAGAACACTAGTATGTAGGGAATGATTGGCATTATTTGTTGAGAGGCCCACTTTTGCATATCATGGATCCAAGCTTTGTGTGTCGGAGAGCAACAGGATTCAAGAACAACTCATTTTCAGTCTTGGCTTTTTGCTGTTGACATAGTTGGATGGAGTCCTTGTTGGATTCACAGGCCTATTTCATGTAGGACGTCAATGGGCATTTTTTGTGTGCTCTTGAAATTAAATGAAGGTTCAAACTGTGAACAGGGGCGGTGGGGTAACCTAGTGGTTAAAGCGTTGGCTCGTCACGCCGACAACCCGGGTTCGAATCCCCACATGGGTACAATGTGTGAAGCCCATTTCTGGTGTACCCCGCCGTGATGTTGCTGGAATATTGCTAAAAGCGGCGTAAAACCAAACTCACTCAGTCAGTCAGTCAAACTGTGAACAATGCAATCAACTCCTTTGTTGTAGCAATAGCTTTGTGAGGTTGGATGTAACTTCCCTGTTTCTAAAATAGTTTGTAATATTGAAAGCAGTCTTGTTAGCATTGAAAATATTGTATTTGTTTCCACAGTCCTGCATGTGATTTATTGAATTCAAAGAGCACAAATTTAAATGTTGAATGATGTACCTCTGGTGATTTTTTCTAAAGTGCATCTGTGCAGATGAAAACATAATCTTGGCATCAGTTGTTGGCACTGCCAGATTTCTCACCTTCAGACCAGAGTTGTTGAACTCAGCAAATCTGCTTCAGTTCTTTTTCCTTTATAGCTGTGAATATTTTTGTGAATGATTTCTAAAACTGACTTTCCTCTTACTATGAATGTGACATAGTTCCTGACATCATTTTGTTTCTTCATTGTGTTCAGGAAATAGCAGTAGCTGTCCTGTTGTTCCTTAATGAACAGTCTAAAAATTGTTCACCCCAAATGGGCCTCTCCAGCTTCCCGCGCCAGCATCCCACATGAACACAGGCTGCATGTCACTCTCTCCTTTTTCGCCCGGACGGTTGGGTGGAATTCCTCTTGTTCTTATACAAGCTACTGCTTGGTTATTTCAGCCTGTATTATTTCCTGTATCCTTTTTACATCATAACCATGGGTTATATTCACTAAGTGCGGCTATTTAATTCTTAATTCTGACTTTTTTCAGAGCGGTGTTTACATATGAAAACATGTTCTGTGTATAGATACAGAATTTCCGTTCATCACCCACATTTGTGTCCTTTTTATGTGTTAAACGTAATTGCAAATTAAACTTTAGGTGTATTTTTTTTAAAGTTCTGTGCCCACTTAGGCGATTTAGAATTTACTAATTGTTTACTGGCCTTACAATGTGAAAGATGGGCAAAAAAGGCGGAAAACTCCAGGACATCATCCCAGGCTGTTTCTCCAACAGACAAGGTAATCAAGTACATGACTGAATGTGGGTTCATTCCTTTAGAGTCCCCTGAGGACAATATACTTTCAGTATTTAATATTAATTCTCTTTAATCGGTTGTTGAGCTTCCCTTGCAGGAAGTCAAGTTGATATTGTCAACTATTTTTAATTAAGATGTTATGACGAAGTGCATCAGATCTTCCCTCTGTAAAGTCAAATATACTCAAAGTTTACCACATGTCTGGCCTCTCCTGGCTCTTGCCAATAAACGTCACTCAGTCAAGTCCGAAATCCGTCCTGTTGTCCTGTCACTTCTCAACTGCCCTCAGCACATGTTTTTCGCGCGCATGCGTCACCAAATCTCGTGCATGCGTAGACAGTCACTATCCTAAGTACGAGACTCAATAGTTAACACCCTCAACCACAGACCTTCACGCAGCTGTTGACCCAGACTCCAACCTTAGTGCAGGGGGCAGCCAGCCAGATCAACCTGCCTTCAAGCAGTCCATGATACAGACGTAGACGCAAGTCTTTGCGCAGGTCCAGTCCTTTGAGCATCAGCCAGACCAGGTGGCAATTATCACCCAGCAAGTCCTCGCCATGCAGCAGCACCACATCCCTGCACCTACGGAGACTGACAGGCCTCTTTGTCTGTCTACTTCTGCGCCTTCAGCCGACGAGGAATCTCAACAAGAGAATTGCGGACAGACTCCCTATTTCGTCACATACGAGCGACTCTTCACCCACTGACACTTACTATACCCAAGAGGATGACATACATACCCTCACCATCCCACCCAGGAACTGATATCCCAAGTAGCAGATGACTTGATATCAGCCTTCGTGAAGGCTACGAAGGCTCAGGGGCCGCCTACACCGTCTTTTAATCTGAAGAAATTCCCTCCCCACAATATGGAGGTCAAGAACAAGGCACTGTAGAGATAGATGAAGACTACTTACGAAGAGAGCAGTGAAGCGTGAGCCAAGCAGCGTTATAGTGAGACAGCGAGACATTGACCCCACCGTAGCACGATTTTACTTTGCCGCGAATAGGCATCGGCTGATAAACTGCATATTTGCCATCTAACAGATGAAGTTTAGAATTCTGAAGTTATCTGCCTACATGAGAACTATCTAAGCTACCAGTTTTGTAAGTGATGTACGTCAACAGTCTTATTGGAATGCGCTATTGGCTGGGACCGTCTGGCAAGCATAGATCTTAAAGATGCATATCGACACATCCCCATTCATCAGAAGTCAAGGATGTTCCTGCGTTTCCTATATCGGGGGCAGCACTACCAATGGAAGGTCCTTCCCTCAGGAATACCTATGACCCTGTGGTTTTTAAACGTGTGACCAAGCCCATCGTAACCTAGCAACACATGAGAGGGGTACACAGTACCTTTTACTCAGACGATGGTATTCAGGCTCACCAATCAGTAGATCCACTCAGACGTCAGCTAACCAGAAGACTGATGGATGAATATCCAGGATTGTCTCCCACGAACTCTCAATTCAGGTCTACCTGTTAAGACTTGACAAGAAATACTGTGTCTTCTCACATCAGCGCAAGCTCTTACTCTAGTCAGAGATTCCTGAAACCTTACCGAGATCCTCAGGATGTCACTATACATCTGAAGAGATACCTGCAGTGGTGGATGGTCAAGTCGAATGTTGCAGAGGCACCTATTTGCATGAGCCGGTCTACAATCTACATTTCTTTGTAGACGGTTCACTCCATGGTTGGGGAGTTCACTTCAACTCAGAAGTAAACGCAGGGACCTGGTCCAGAGAAAAGCAGTCTCTACTCATCAATCAACTGAAATTTGATGCAGTCATCAGCGCCATCTATCACTGGTCCCATCTCTTCAGAAACCTATTCCTGATGATAATGCAGCAATAGCATTCTACATCAACCTGCAAGGCACGACAAGATCGGCGCCCCTGCTACAGCTGACCTTCCGCTTTGAGTTCTCAGACAGAGTTTACTGTGAGTAAAGGCCAGTCACATCCCAGGCGCTTTCAACATCCCAGCAGACGTGTTGTCCAAGACCCATCAAGCCATCTCCGGAGGCATTTCAACTATTGGTGCGAGATCAGAGCTGCCCACCCATAGACCTTTGCAACAAGATTCAACAAGCAGATAAAGACCTTCGTCTCACCGGTTCCAGATCAACTAGTCTGGTCTCTAGACACACTGTCAATATCCTGGGAAGGCCTCCATGCCTACTCATTGCTGCCACGAGTCATACGGAAGGTCATCCAGACGAAGATCCTGCGACTGATTTTGGTAGCGCCCTACTGGCCCTCAAGAACATGGTTTCCCGACCTCATCAGACTTCTTGGAGTGCCAAGTCTACAGTTTCCAAACTGGCCCAATCTACTAATTCATCCGCACACAAGACAGTCTCACGCCAATCCCGAGGGCTTTCAGTTACACTCATGGAACGTATTATGAGCTGCCTCACCAGAAGAGGGTACTCTGCTAGAACAGCGAAGGTCGTCACTCTAGCTCTCAGACGCTCTACTAGAAATCTCAATGATGACAAGTGGAAGAGCTTTGACCAGTTTGCAGAAAGGGTTTGCAGCAACCAGGGCTACGCATCCTGAAGTGGCGGAATACTTGTGTCATATGAGAGCTACCAGACATTTGGAAGGTTCTACCCTGTCTATGTACCTATCAGCCATCAGTTCAGTCCTCACCATGAACTCAGGAGTGAAACTCACCAAAGTTCCAGAACTCATCGCACTACTGAGATCCTTCAAGCCAGAAGACCAGCAGAGGAAGTTTACAGCACCAGCAAGGGATTTGAATATAGTCCTTAAACACCTAACCAGTGATGAATATGAACCATTACTTCAAGCAGACTTTGAGTTGCTCACTCAGAAGACCCTGTTCCTCCTCGCACATGCTACAGCTGCCAGGATGTCAGAAATCCAGCCTTTGACTACAGTCGAACTAGGTTCGATATAGGTGACCATCTAGCAGTTCCTCTTGGGCTTAGATGGGACTTCATCGCAAAGAACCAACTACCAGAACACCCAGAGAGACAGTTCCACATCTGTGCGTTATCATACATCCTTGAATCAGACGACACTCAGGACTTGTCCTTATGCCAGGTCAGAGCATTGAAGATCTATCTACAGAGAACTGTTGTGAGGAGAAGAATATTTTAGAGACTCTTCACACCTTTATCAACAGCTACATTTACCCAAGTCACCAGAATGACTTTCTCCTTCTGGCTGAGAGCAGTAATCCTGAGGGCTTACAAGGCAGCAGGACAGGATCCACCTAGAGCCTCCAGTCCTCATGCATCCACATTAGCTCTACACAGCTACACGTGTTTCCGGTATCCATCAGTTCAGCCCTCTAGTTGTGACACAGCAGTTGACAGTTTCCAGCCAGGCGTTAATTACTCACTCATACTCACATAGACTCGCAGACGGTCAGGTTACTGTTCCATAACCTTCGACAGAAAGACCATGTTCCCCTGTTTTACAGCGCATGAGTGGTAGGATTTGGTTATGTTTATGACCTATTCTTAACATATGAATCGAACCAAGATAAGCCGGAATCTAATTCTCAGTGAGTCTTAAAATCCACAAAATCTTATGATTTAGTTGTTTTTTAATTAAAAGAAGGTGGTTCTCTAGCTTATTGTCGCAGTGTCAGAAGATTGAAGAGTTGCCAGGGGCTGGATCAAACAGTATCAGGATCCAAATAGATGGCTGACCCACCACCTATCTGTTGGATTCAAACAATAACGTATGAGTCAGGATAAGGAAAAATATGAAATTGTTATGATAAAATTGATAGTTTATACTTATCCTGACTCATAGTCTAAGGGCCCTCCTAACCGTCCCCACTGTCCACTATTTGTGGGCGTTATAATGAAGACTGTGACATGCAGCCTGTGGTCACGTGGGACGCTGGCACGGAAAGCTGGAGAGGTCCATTTGCGGTGAGCTATTTTTAGACTGTTCATTAGGGAACAACAGGACAGAGGTTTCCACTGTACCTCGGAAGAAAGGGAGATAAAGCAATAATGTATGAGTCAGGATAAGTATACAATATCAAATTTTAAACTTATCCTATCTCACGACTTGCACCTCTCTCTCTTGCTTCGACTTTTAGTGGAACGACTGTAAACTTTTTTCCATAGGCCTACTTGTCCATTCGCCCGTGCACTCCATGCTGTTCTCCTGAATTAGCTTCCTAGTTCCTAATAAAGCTTGCAGCATGCTCCACTAATTGCCTACGTGACTACCTTGAATGATCATTCTCTTTCTTGTCGCACGACTGTGTGGACGTGCTGTATATTAGGGACATTATTTCACCCTAACATCATGGGGAAAACTGATAATCAGTCAAGGAAAAGGAAAGTTTGTGCTCAATGCAAGACGAATTATTCGTCCCTCGACCCTCACTCGTCTTGCAGTGACTGTATTGGACAAACTGGAACAAACGATGCGGCAAGTGTAATTCACTAAAAGATGAGGATTTTAAGGCCTACCTTCGTGTTTGCTCCCGGAGAATCGCCGATAGGGACAGGAAATCAACAGAATCTGATCACACTCCCGCAAATCGTACCTTCACACAAGAGAGCGGCGTCTGTGGTTCAAGAGGATTTTATGGACGCTTCATCAGATTCTAACTTATAAGAGGACGTTCGGCACCTATTACATACGCATCAATCACCTCCTTCCATAGCGTCAGATCACTCGCGGGTGGTTGTGATCGATAATTCATCGTTGCCTGTCCCATCTACACTACCAGGGGACCTTAGATCGACACTGTCATCATCCAGATCATCGGCACATATCCCCTCGACTGTCTCAGTTTGTTTGGAGCCTGGCCAACTGCGTTCAACCAGCCAACTGTCCACCCACAGTTCGTTGAACCGGACGGAGCTGGCTATAACAGCGTCGCCGGCTATAACAGCGTCGCCGGGGGACATTTATCATGAATCAACACTTCAGGTTTCGTCACCTAATCGCTGATCCAGATCACCACATCATTCTAGATCACCACAACGATGTAGATCACCTTCACGATCCAGATCACCATCACAAACCCAATCTAGATCACCGTGCCAATCAAGATCACCGAATTGATCCAGATTACAGTCACGATCCAGAGCACAACTACGATCCACATCACCTGATCAATCCAGATCACCAGAACGGGTCCAGATCACAACTTCGAATCAGATCACCGGACCGATCCAGATCACCTAGCCGATCCAGATCACAACATCCAAAAAAGATCATCGGACCGATCCAGATCACCGAATGGATCCAGATCACAACTTAGAATCAGATCACCGGACCGATCCAGATCACTGAATGGATCCAGATCACAACTTCGAATCAGATCACTGGACCGATCTAGGTCACCTAACCGATCCAGATCACAACATCGAAGTAGATCGCCAGACCGATCCAGATCACCAAACCGATCCAGATCACAACATCAAAGAAGATCACCTAACCAATCCAGATCACCAAATCAAGCCAGATCGCAACTGCAAACTAGATCACCTGTTCGATCCTGATCACCATATAGAACCAGATCACGATCACAGTTTCCAGTTAGTGCATGGAATCGATCCAGATCATTTTACAAATCCAGATCATCTTACCAACCCAGGTCACCTATACGATCTAGATCACCTTACAGAGCCATTGACCAATCGGGATCACAGTACAGATTCACATCTCATGGCCGATCCTATTCAGATGGTCGACCAGAGCTCCAATCAGAACCAGATCACCAACTAGAACTACGGCGACCTGGACTAGTTCTTCATATCACACCAGATCACATAGCCATACTAGGGAATCCAGATCACCGGCTTACCAACCTACTTTAGGTACTTACCACGTCGAGATCTCGATACAGTTCCTCTGACCGACGTTCGGGTGAATATTGCTCTGATACCACTAATAGGCCTACAGTCTCTTATGATGTTCCATCTACACGCTCTGAGAATCCTTCGACTCACTCCAGGATCATCGCTGATACATGGGAACCTGATAACAATCCCACTCCTACAGCGACTCCAGATCTAAATATGATGATCAAGGCCATAACCTCAGCGTGGAACCAAATACAGCCTTCTACTCCAGCCCATCTGGCTTCGGTAGCTCCTGGCTCTTCATCTGATCCACCTCCTGAGATTGATCCAGCCCAAATAGCCATGCCTGCATCTCCCGTTCACTCTGAGTTAACTACCCCTAGGGGTAGCTTTGCAGCAGTTGAGACACCTCAGTACTCCTTTGGATTGTTGAGAAGCTCCGACTTCCCTTGAGTACTTCAGCAGATGACCTGGATCACTCTTATTCTCTTAGGAACCGGGATTGGTCTACCATCACCCTACCACCTTGACCTTGTATTCTGAAATTATCCAGTACACTAAATGATGATTTCAAGAGCCTGAAACGAATTAAGGATGGATTCTCTGCTCCCAGATATAATCCTTCTACCTATCATGTCCACGGCCTAACAAAAATCTCTACGGCTCCAACAGTTGATGAGGATATTGGAACCCTGTGTGGCGAACAAGCTGCTTCGCCCTACCATGTTGAGGACCAAGAGTTGGCTCACATGGATTCAGCCGTGAGAAAGATGCTGCCATCTATTAGTTGCGTGATTGCAGCAGTCGACGCTGTTAACACTGCTCTGGAGCATACTTATTATGATCAAGACGCTTACATCCGAGGATGCATGACTTTAGCTCTGGACCAGTTCCAAATTATCCTGGATCAGTTGTCTTGCTGTGCCGACGTGGACCCCTTAACATCTCTTCATGGGAGTAGCGATTTAAAACAGAACTGTTTCGCCAGCCTTGGTTTACTGACTCCCTCTTCAATGGTAGCACCCAAGAAGTATCTAATAAAGTTGATAAAGAAACTCACTTTCAAGTCTCGATTGAACTGTTAAAGATACAGAAGTCACAGCTCCAGGACTCATTAAAACAGTGTCGAATTGCACAGTTCACCCCTACCAATCCGGGATTTATGCAATCTTTTTCGTGGCACATCCACTCAAGGCCGTGGCAGAGGAAACAGATCTGGCCGTGGCGCACCATCCTGAAGAAGGGATAATTCCTCATCAGCCTATCTTCACGTTCCGATACATCCAGAACACCGGAAGTATCTTCGCTTCGTGTTCAATGGGAATCACTACCATTGGAAAGTCCTACCATTTGGAATTTCCACGGCCCCGTGGCTTTTTACCCGAATTACCAAGCCCATAACGAGCTTCCTCCACTTTCAAGGGATCACCTTCGAAAGCTACATAGAAGATTGCATCCAGGCTCAACAGGATCCGATCATATTGCTTCGCCAGCTACAGTTCACCACCATGCTGCTCAGACAGTTAGGGTGGCTGTTGAACATCGCGAAATCGGGAACTAATACCGACTCAGAAACTCCAATTCATCGGAGCACTGTTCAACACTCGTCAGGGGATGATGTTCGTACCTCACGACAGATGGATAAAGATTCTGCTATGCATTCCTCCAGCACTGTCTCAGGCGAGAACCTTACAACAGTGGCAGGAGCTACTGGGCCTTCTGACGTCAGCTCAAACTTTGGCCGATACAGCGATTTCTACGCCCATACCTTCAGGCCGACAAACCCAAGGAACTAATTTGCCTTCCAGAACCGCTTCGTCCAGTCCTTCAATGGTGGCTCGACGAACGGAATGTTTGCGCTGGAGTCTCTATGATGCCCTTTGCATTGACTCATCACCTATTCGTCGATGCATCCCTCATGGGTTGGGGAGCTCACTTCCTTGACCACCAAGTGGCGGGGCTGTGGTCTTCCGATGAACGGGTACGTCATATAAACGAGCTGGAATTCAAGACGGTAATTCAAGCCATCTCACATTGGGCAACAGAGCTTCAATCAACCAGTCTGTTGATCCAATCAGACAATTCGACAGTGGTTTGGTATATAAATCATCTAGGCTCGACAGGCTCGGCGAATCTGCTACAATGGGCGATCAGGTTCTTCCATCTCATCGACTCACTCAACATCGTAGCCAGAGCCAGACACATTCCCGGGGTAAAAAATGTGATCGCCGATGCCTTGTTCCGATCTAATCGCCCGTCCCCTACAGAGTGGAAGTTATTGCCCCAGATCTTTCAGTCGATGATCTACCCGTTATCACGGCCTCAAATAGATCTGTTCGCCACAAGGTTCATCAACCTAAGAAGCCTGGCAGAGCCAAACCCAGTACCGCTTCCCAACCGGGACGACCTACTTCTTCAACCTCACTCGGAACTGCGCCACGGGTCACCTCAGACCCTCAATCTACATGTTTGGCGCATCTTCAGAGGTCTCTCATAGCTAAGAGTATGCACAGCTATCACTTCAGCTCTTGTACTTCGACCCGTTCCTTGTACGACAACAAGTGGAAGAAGTTTGAAGACTATTGCAAGCTTAGGGGAATTGCATCTCCCACTTCCACCTCGGCTCAGGTCGTTGCTGAGTTTCTCCAGCATCTCCACACTACTAAGGAACTCAAGGGTACTACGTTAGCTACCTACTTAGCCGCCATCAACTCAGTTTTGGCTACCACCACGGGCACGAAGATTTCCACTGTTCCCGAGTTGCAGAGTCTACAACGCTCCTATAGACTCTCTGACCAGTCCAGGAAGTTCAGACCTCCGTCGTTTTGTCGTATAATTTCTACAGATTATGAACCTTTAGAAGACAAGGACTTCGAACAAGTGACATTCAAGACATCGCTGCTTGTATATCTGAACTGCATGAGCTTGATGTCAATCGGGTGCGGTTCGAGCGGAAGAAGCATGGCAAGGCTTTCCTGGGTCTCCGCTGGGACTTCATTGCGAAAAACCAACTGCCAGGGCAACTGGACCGGATGTTTACCATTCCCCCTGTTGTCCACCATTCTTGGGCCTGATGATAATGAAGATTTGACACTCTGCCCTGTTAGGGTTCTACACGTTTACCTTGCTGCCTTCAAGGATCGTCGACGGCTACGGAAGTGCCTCTTCATACCCATGTTGACCGCTTCAAGAACTGAGGTTTCCCGGACCACATTGGCCTTCTGGATGTGTGCCACGATCCTGTGAGCCTACCTCTTTGCAGGGTTGACTCCTCCAGCCGCTTCCAATCCTCATGAGACTCGTGCACTAGCCTCGACAATGGCCCTCCATAGCAACTGCTCCTTGACCGCTTTCATGGAAAGTTGCTTCTGGCGTTCTGATACAGTCTTCTCTTCACATTACCTTCAAGACCTGTCTGTCACGAATGTCCAGGGACTAAACCAGTTCGGACCTCTTGTACTGGCTCAGCAGCTTACATCGGCCCAACATCGCAGATGAGGGACGGTTCCACATTCGCGTTACTGCTTCCTTGTATATACTGAAACAAAGTTGAACTGGATCTCAACCTTTTGTTCTCATTATATGGGTTTAAGAACTACTTCACTAGGCCTCCATACCAAGGCATCGGAATACGGCCACCTAGTGTGGCCCTACGGACCTGAGGCACAATCAGTATGATGATGCAGAGGTGTTCGACATTCAGGCTTACTGACCTCTACTCCATGGAGCAATTACGTCAGTGAAGTGTGACACTCCCGAATTCCACTGGATTTCGTTGTGTTCTGCCTCCAAAGTTGCCGGGCACATCCTTTGACTAAGCTTAGGCAAATCATCTCCCTGGGAGTCGTTGTGCTTAGTAAGCCAAGGGGTTCCGGAGAACCCACAACAAGCATAGGAGTTTCGTGCATGCGTAACAGGCCTCCCTTGTACATCGCTATCTACGGTTGTCATCAGTCCACACAGCTCCAAGACCAGCTGTTCGCACTGTCCAGATAGAAGGGTAATCTGCAGCCCGCCGTCCAACCGTGGGATAAGTGCAAATCGTGAGATAGGATAAGTCTAAAAAAAATTGAAATTTTAATATAAATTGTATATTTATATACTTATCCTATCTCACGCGATGGATGCCCACCCGGCCTCCCCACTACTCAAATTACAACGTTGGCTCCAAGATGAGAATGATCATTCAAGGTACAAGCAGTCCTCAATGAAAGACTTTTTCAAAACTGCATAATTGTAAAGGTATGATTGTTATGTTGTGATGCTGTTTTTGAATGTCTATACATGTACAATAAACTCTTGATGGTCATAAACGTTTTGGATTTTCCTTGAGGTGTATGAAAACCAAAAATCCAGACATCCGGATATTCAATTATCCGGACGATTTACGTAAAAACGAATGTGTCCGGATATCCGAGGTCTCACTGTAGTCACGTGGGAAATTAGTGGAGCATGCTGCAAGCGTTATTAGGAACTAGGAAGCGAGAGCAGCATGAAGTGCACGGGCGAATGGACAAGGAGGCCTATGGAAAAAAGTTTACAGTCGTTCCACTTAAAGTCGAAGCAAGAGAGAGAGGTGCAAGTGGTGAGATAGGATAAGTATATAAATATACAATTTATATTAAAATTTCCAATTTTATCATAAAAATTACATTTTCTTGATTGTGTTCCCCATCAGACAGTGTTAGTTGTTGGAACCTGTTTCTAGATTGTTTTCCTCTTCGGGATCACACATGCACACCTGGAAAAAGTTTAGTACGAACCTTAAAGGCACAATGTCACACATTTTTGACGATATTTTGGCCTATATTATATATATTGGGGCATATGCACTCACTTTAGCTTCCTGTTGATGCATTAAAGGAGTTATTATCCCTTATGACTTGCCTGAAATCGATAGTTGAAAGCTCGAGGCGAACAGTTTCCAAGCAGAGAACACTTGCCACATATAGAATGTAAACAATTGCTCCGTACATGGAAAACTATCCCACACGGAGTTGTCGGTGTTTGCCGAGCTGGTTTCAATCACAAGTTGTGAGTAGGATATTCGTAAAGAGCACTCCAAAGGAAATAACTCTATGGGGTTTGCTTCAAATAACGTTTGGCCGGTAGAGGTCGAGAGAGTCGATTTACTGCAACCTTGCATTAATTCATTCAAACTTTTTGATTTAATATTGTAATCTAAATACATAAAAAATAATTGGAATAAATTATATGGTAGCTTCCCTGAGGGCAGATAGTTAGTATTATTGAGAAAATCCATGATGTATTTTTAGAGAAGTGTGATGTGATATATTGCCTTTAAGTCAACAGCTTATTGAGATGTCATTCAGAATGGTTTTTTTATATGTTTTCAGAGGTGCAAGAAATGGAAGAAAATCTACCAAAGACATGTCGTGCACAGTTTGATGACATCAATAAAATACACAAGTTCTTTCTGATCATTTGCCCAGATGAAGGCTTTTGGCAGGGTGGAAAGTTCAAGTTTCATATAGATGTGCCTGAGGACTACAATATAGTGGTGAGTATTGACCTACATCATGTGTGGTAAGCATGGTCAAAAATAGTGAGAAAAGTGATTACTTGTGTACTGATATTACCCACCTCATCTTGACTCCAAATGCAATGGTGTTGTCTCCCTTTGGCACACCAAAAACCTGTGTGGTTCACTCTTATCATATTTCTAGGTCTGTCAGCGCCAAACCTGTGCTTGTTTAGTTCAGACCTGTGCATTAATCTGCCATGTTGTGGTATGACATAAATTCTTTTCACAGTGGCATTAAACCCAACTCACTCACTCACAAAAAATGGAATTACTTATTATCACGGGTAGTTAATTGTCAAGTTCAATTTATTTATTTCAGCCTCCTCAGGTTATCTGCTGTACAAAAATATGGCATCCGAATATCACAGAGAATGGCGAAGTATGCCTCAGTCTCTTGCGACAGAATTCCTATGATAGTATGGGTAAGTTGACTCGGTTTTGTTCACCTTTCCATTATTGATGATACCGAAATTAGTTCAAGAGGTAGAAGAAATCCAACTCTCAGCGATGCTGAAAACCCATGACTATCCTGCTATGATTGTGTGCACTTACCTTCTTATCAACATTGTTCAAACCATAGAGCGGTCACACCCAGAAGCCTGTAAACAATTAAGCAGCCTTCACACGGCAAAGTAAAGTTTGACAACACATGTTGTCAAACTCGAGTTTAAGAGTGTGAACATTCCAACAACTCTCCATCAACACCCATTTCAGAGTTGTCGAGAAAAAGGATCGGTCTCTATTCTTGCCAAATTTCCATCAAACTTTCAGTGTTGTCAAAATCTAGATTGACATGTGAACCTCATGTTGTTCAGAAACAACCAAACGCAGTCCACGATATTGTCACCTAACCGCACCGATAGAGAAATGGTGCTCAAATGACGCGAAAGTTTGACAACATGTGTTTGACGTGTGGAAACGAGAGCTTGACAACTTTTAAAATTTTATAAACGTGTTGTCAAACTTCACTTTAGTTTGCCATGTGAAGGCCTCTTTGAACTTCATTGTACTCCTAATCCCCATGTCCTACACACATCCTTTTGCCCTTTTCAAATGTATCTATAAACAGCAGGGAGAGAAATTGGAAATTTTAATATAAATTGTAATTTTTAAACTTATCCTATCTAACTGTATGCACCTCTCTATTCTTCTACGACCATGTGTGGAAACGTGCTGTAGGCTAAGTTGAATCAAATCTTGCTGGCCTCTGACCCGCCCTGACCTCTGCCCTCACTCCGACATCAACACCTGTCAATCATCTCTGTAAGCGTGCCGCTCGTTCAGATGATCATGTGACTACCTGTGCCTGTCATTCTCTTTCTTGTCGCGGCGTCAGGTGGACGTGTGCTTTGCTATAGAAAGTTTGTTTGCGATTCTCTACAACTATGGGAAAGTCTAATCGCAGTAGTTCTAAGAAACGAAAGCATTATGACCAATGCAACAGTAATTTTTCAGCGGCGGACCCACATGTCTTGTGTGTAGACTGTTAAGGCAAATGCGAATGGTCCCGTCGCTGTACGTTCTGTAAGGATCTTAACGATGATGATTTCTCGGCATATCGCCGGTGGCTGGTAGACGCTTATCCGATCGAGATCGCCGTCAACTATCTGAGGGTCCGTCGGCATCGAAGCGCACTCAAGGCCGGCGTCGTAAATCTACGGCGGTCGGTCGTTCGAGGTCCCCGTCTGCTATTGAGGATTTTCTAGAAGAGGCGTCTGATTCCTACCTTAGTGAGAACTTAAGACAACTGTTCCGACCGCGTGGTCGTAACCCCATCACGTTGGAAGACTCGTCTCCACCTAGGGTTGTGGTGTTAACTACGTCCTCTCCACAACCTCATCTGTCTACGGTGGTTGTTCCTTCGTCTGGTTCTCATTCGGTGGTTCAGTCGAATGTGTCACTTGATTCTAGACCACCACATTATTCGAGTGCGCCTCTTGCCTCACAAGCGTCGTTTCCTTTAGGCCAGTTATCGGTTAGAGCGCCGCTTGTGTCCAATTCGGCGCTTCCTACTAGTACTCCCGGATCGGCGCTTACTACCGGTGTGTACGGTTCGGCGCTTCCTACCGGTGTTCCCGGATCGGCGCTTACAACTGGTGGTTTCGGTTCGGCGCTTACTACTGGTGGTATCTGTTCGGCGCTTACTACTGGTGTGCCCAGATCGGCGCTTACTACTGGTGATCTCGGTTCGGCGCTTACTACCGGATCGGCGCTTCCTCCCGGTATTCACGGATCGGCGCTTACTACTGGTGGTCCCAGATCGGCGCTTACTACTGGTGGTCCTGGTTCGGCGCTTACTACTGGTATTCCTGGATCGGCGCTTACTACTGATGGTCCCTGATTGGCGCTTAATACTGGTGTTCCCAGTTCGGCGCTTATTACCAGTGCTCCCGGATCGGCGCTTCCTCCCGGTGTTCCCGGATCGGTGCTTACTACTGGTGTTGTCAGTTCGGCGCTTTTTACCGGTGTTCCCGGATTGGCGTTTCCTCCCGGTGTTCCTGGATCGGCGCTTCCTCCTTGGGTTCCCGGATCGGCGCTTACTACTGGTGTTCCCAGTTTGGCACTTACTACTGGTGTTCCCAGTTCGGCACTTATTACCGGTGCTCCCAGATCGACGCTTACCTCCGGTTTTCCCGGATCGACGCTTACTACCGGCATGACTGGTTCGACACTTCCTTGCGGTGTTCCCGGATCGGCCCTTCCTCCTGTTGTTCCCGGTTCGGCGCTTCCTCCTGGTGTTTCCGGTTCGGCGATTACTTCAGGAGGTTTTGATTCAGCATTTCCTTATGCAGGCTTGGTGTTGTCGCTTCCTCAGGGTGCTCCCACTGCGATGCACACTCACAATTTTCCCGGTTCAGCGCTTCCTCATGGGGTTCGTGTTGCCCCGCTTACACATACTGGTCCGAGTTCGGTGCTTACCTCTCATGTCTCAGGTTTGGCGCTTGGTCCTTCTACGTCGACCTTTGCTGTTAATAGCCGGGACCTTGCGACTTCGTCGTTGGCGCATGGGAGTGTGCCTCAACCAGCTGGTAGTTTGGTTCCTCGGCGGGAGGTACCTTGTCATACCTTGGTACTGCCTTCTGTTTCATTGGTTCCTCCTATATCGGGACTGGGGGCCAGACCCATGTTGCCGGTTTCCTGGAATCTGGGCTCTGAGGTTTCAAGTGCTCAACCTTTGGACTTTGATGCTATGGTACTAGCGGTAGCATCAGCATTACGACAGCAGGTACCAACTCCTCCTGCTCAGCAGTCATCCCATCCTTCGAGTTATCCAGCTCCTTCTTTACAAGAGGTTCATCGTTCGTCAACGCCGTCTCCCTCGTCAGATGGTACGGCGATATCCGATGGTAGCGTCGATGCTGTAGGCATGCCTCAACTACTTGTCTGGATTGCTGATAGTCTGCTATTACAGCGTAGTGCCTCATCGGCGGATTTATTATCCAGTTTTGACATGAAGCCAGGTGATTTTGGGTCTATCACGTTCCCCGCCTCGACCGTGTATTACTCAATTGGCAGCGTCGCTGGACGAGGCCTTCGGTAACCTCAGGAAGGTGAAGGATGGGTTTGCAGCTCCCCACTTCAACTTAGCATCCGCTCATGTTCATGGTTTCTCTACGTTTATCGTCTCCCCTCCGGGTGGATGATGATGTTTCATTGCTTGGGACTAAACAGGAGGTTTTCTCGCCGATCCTGGTTGAGGATCTGAGCTGTTACATTTGGATGGTGTCATACGGAAGACTATGGCTCCACTCAACATGGTGTTGACGACTACCAAAGCAGTGGCTATGTCGGTTGCACATGCTACGTCCCATCAAGAAGCGTATATTCGGGCAGCTATGGTCTTATTGCAAGAGCAATTCCAGACCATTCTAGATCAGTTAGCTCACTTCTTTTCGTACATCACAGCTGTACGTCGCAGGGGGCCTTTGAACTTATCCTCTTGGGAGGATCGGTTCCGTACTGATCTTTTTCGGCAGCAATGGTCTGGCAGGTCTTTGTTTAACGGAGCTGTTAGAGGTGTCGCTAACAGAGTGACTACCTGTGCCTGTCATTCTCTTTCTTGTCGCGGCGTCAGGTGGACGTGTGCTTTGCTATAGAAAGTTTGTTTGCGATTCTCTACAACTATGAGAAAGTCTAATCGCAGTAGTTCTAAGAAACGAAAGCATTATGACCAATGCAACAGTAATTTTTCAGCGGCGGACCCACATGTCTTGTGTGTAGACTGTTAAGGCAAATGTGAATGGTCCCGTCGCTGTACGTTCTGTAAGGATCTTAACGATGATGATTTCTCGGCATATCGCCGGGTGGCTGGTAGACGTTTATCCGATCGAGATCGCCGTCAACTATCTGAGGGTCCGTCGGCATCGAAACGTACCAAGGCCGAGCGTCGTAAATCTACGGCGGTCGGTCGTTCGAGGTCCCCGTCTGCTATTGAGGATTTTCTAGAAGAGGCGTCTGATTCCTACCTTAGTGAGAACTTAAGACAACTGTTCCGACCGCGTGGTGTGTAACCCCATCACGTTGGAAGACTTCGTCTCCACCTAGGGTTGTGGTGTTAACTTCGTCCTCTCCACAACCTCATCTGTCTCACGGTGGTTGTTCCTTCCGTCTGGTTCTCATTCGGTGGTTCAGTCGAATGTGTCACTTGATTCTAGACCACCACATTATTCGAAAGTCGCCTCTTGCCTCACAAGCGTCGTTTCCTTTAGGCCAGTTATCGGTTAGAGCGCGCTTTGTGTCCAATTCGGCGCTTCCTACTAGTACTCCCGGATCGGCGCTTACTACCGGTGTGTAATGCGGTTCGGCTTCCTACCGGTGTTCCCGGATCGGCGCTTACAACTGGTGGTTTCGGTTGGTAACTTACTACTGGTGGTATCTGTTCGGCGCTTACTACTGGTGTGCCCAGATCGGTAAACTTACTACTGGTGATCTCGGTTCGGCGCTTACTACGGATCGGCTTCCTCCCGGTATTCACGGATCGGCGCTTACTACTGGTGGTCCCAGATCGGCGCTTACTACTGGTGGTCCTGGTTCGGCGCTTACTACTGGTATTCCTGGATCGGCGCTTACTACTGATGGTCCCTGATTGGCGCTTAATACTGGTGTTCCCAGTTCGGCGCTTATTACCAGTGCTCCCGGATCGGCGCTTCCTCCCGGTGTTCCCGGATCGGTGCTTACTACTGGTGTGTTGTTCAGTTGGCTTTTACCGGTGTTCCCGGATTGGCGTTTCCTCCCGGTGTTCCTGGATCGGCGCTTCCTCCTTGGGTTCCCGGATCGGCGCTTACTACTGGTGTTCCCAGTTTGGCACTTACTACTGGTGTTCCCAGTTCGGCACTTATTACCGGTGCTCCCAGATCGACGCTTACCTCCGGTTTTCCCGGATCGACGCTTACTACCGGCATGACTGGTTCGACACTTGCTT